GAGGATTTCGCGTCCACTGAGCGGCGGCGGCCGGAGGGAGCCCGGGCTTCGGGCCCTTCTCTCCTGCCAGGCCCGGCCGGGTCCTGCTGAATCTCCCTGCTCTTCCCGGCGAGCCGCGCGGCGGCAGCGGCATGGGGGCCCGGTGTCCCGGTCACATGGGCGGTCCGGCGGCGAGGAGTCAGCGCCGGGTCCCACCGAGGACGTTGGTGCATCTGGTTCTTTTTTGGGTTTTTCGCTGGCGAGACGAAGCATGCTTTGATCCTCATCTCAATTGCGTTTGCTTGGGACTCAGAAGTAAATGAAATTGCTTTAGAACCGAAGCCTGGAGTTTCTCTTTGGCAAAGAGTAAAATGAATGGGAGTAAAAAAGCAGGGTTTTGTTTTCGTCATACTGATGCAGAAGGACTGAGCTTCACAGGTAACCCTACCAGGCAGTATAACTGGGCTCCGAGCTTTGGCTAACGACCAGGTTTTGCCACTTTATAGACTGTGATCAGGCAGCTTGCTTAAAATTCTGAGTCTGTTTCCACGGGGATGTAGCGATTCACTTTATAGGGTTTTTGTGAGTTCCAGTAAAGTATATTTGAGAGTAGCACTTCCAGTGCTGGTGAGCAGGGAGCATCTATGAGTGAAACCCATTGTCATAGTTAAGGCAGTTTTGGATGCTCAAAACATGAAAGAGCAACATGACTAGGAACGTGAAAGGTTTGTAATGGAAGGAACGCTGTTTTTTGGTTTTTGGGTTTTTTTTTTAAGCAGAACCAGGCTGCAAAAGGAGATCAGATCACTATCAAAGAACTTCCTTAAATGGAAGCAGGCAGCCACATGCTCTGAAAAAAGCGCTTTCTTGCTGGAAGTATTTTGAGTTGACAGGGAGACTGCAGAGAGTGTAATAACTGGGCGGAATTGGGCTTTTGAGAATTAGGGTCCTTTGTTTTTGATAAAATTTTTGAGTTGGAGTCTCACTCTATCACCCAAGCTGGAGTGGTGGTGGCACGTTCCCGGCCACTGCAGCCTTGACCTGTTGGGCTCCTGGCCTCAGTCTCCCAAGTAGGTGGAGCCACAGGCATGCACCACCATGTCCGGCTAATTTTTTGACTTGCTGTAGAGACTAGGGGCCAATTGCCCAGCTTGGTCTTGAGCCCGTGTACTCAGGCAATCCTCTCACCTCGGCCTCCCAAAGTGCTGGGATTATAGGCGTGAGCCACCCCGACTGGCAGTCCTTCGGTTTTATTTGACAAAAGCTAATCTTCATGGCGGGTTTACTGAAGGCCAGATGCTAAGCCCCTTACCTGCATTGTCTCTCATTTTCTCAATAAATTAACGAGGTGTGTAGCATTGTCTCTGTTATTCATAACCTGAGTAGAAAACTCTGAGGTTAGCCGTGAGCATGCATGCCACTGCACTCCAGCCTGGGCAAAGGAGACTCCAATTAAAAAAAAAAAAAAAAGAAGCCAGGCTC